TGGTTAATATCGACCAGACTACACAGCGCAACAACCCAGAAGACAGAAATCTTCAATTAAAAATCATGAGGTAGCCCTCAAAATTGCCAAAGATTCCAATAAACTCTGGTCATTCAAATCCAGTCAGTCAAAAACCAGTTTTTACATATTTTTTGGGGCAACACTGTAATCAAATTTCAAGCAAGTATGTATACATTATGTATTAATCATAAATAATCTGAAGTTTTAATAGTTGAATGAGATAAAATGAAGATCTTCTGGTACAAGATCCATTTAGATCCTGACAATAGTCTGATAAACCTAAATATAAACCTACGATGATTTAACTTGTCCCTGATTAATAAACTATCTGCACATTTGCCTCATACCAGATATTTGGTTGTTGCAGACTTGAGAACTGTTAGTTGCCATGACAATGCTGAGTGGCGGGGGTGTGACAGAGCTGTTTGCTGCTGCCATCTTGCTGCTTGTGTTTCTATACCACGTGAGCAATGTGTTCCGCTACTATTTCAAGTTTGCTGTGTTCATCATTGCATCCCTTGGGTCTGCCACAGTATTCATTCCTCTTATGCTGTGGCGACCAAGAAGCTACAGGAATGCTCTGTGAGTTATGTTTTGTTCTTTCCTTTTATGGTTTTGGATTCATGCTACATAGTCACATGAAGTAACAAAATTTTATGATTTCTTAACAAGTCCTTAAGTCTCAATGCAGTAGCCATCACTAAATTAATAACATTTTCTCGGGTTATCAGCCATGTCAGTTCGGAGACGGCTTATAGTCCGAGAAGAAGATTTTAAAACTATAAGCCACTATAAAAGCTTCAGACCACACATCAACAGATTGTCTGCTTCAAAGTCACAAAAGGACTTCACCCCCAGAGGCCCTAAGACATGATTACAGCATTTCTGGCTTTGCTATGTTGCTGATTCTAAGCTTTCTTAAGTCGCCTGGGCTCCACTCTTCATGTTGCAATGTTCTATGACTGTGACCTTGAAACATGTAATTTGGTGATGGCTTTATATTATATTGTAGCTTAATGTGAAATATTAGAAACCGTTATTATATATCATTTGTCTATCATCGCACAACAAAGTTCACATGTTCAGTTATGCCCTGCCACCTGCACTTCCAATGACTACATGTTTCGGGTGCATACGCCCATCACTCAACATGTGAAACAAGTTTATTTAATTATCTAAACATTTTTAATTCTTAAAATGGCAATTATTTGTTTGGTTCACGAAGATTATGTTATCTGACGAGTGGCAGATGGTCTTGGATGCGAATGGTGCACACATTGAAATTATTTTTACATGATTATCAATCTCCTCAGACCACTGAACTCAGACACAAAATTAATTTATGCTTACATTGTAATAATGTAATTATATGCAATTAAAACTTTGTCATCTCTTTAGAAATACCCTGTATGGTTTATCCACTGCCATTTTAGTGAAATGTACAAATTTTAAACCTATTTTCAATTAACACAATACATAGATAACAATTTGAAACCTTAAAAAATGCATCTTATCATTTATATTTCAGATGCAAAGAATTATTGTGATTAAAATAATTCAACAATACAGTGGTTAAATTATTAATAATCTTTTAAAGCTTTGTGAACCAACCAGATGAACTTTTAGTTTTGCATATCATCTTCAAGCCCTAATGATCACACAATTCAACAAACCTGCATACTAGCCTTTCCTTTGACAGCAAAAGTAAATGTGGATTTGAGTAGAGTTGGTCAGAAGTGCTATGAGCTATGATTTATATTGATTTGTACGAATATTTGCTATTTATTTCAGTCTTCCAGCATGGAGCGAACGACATTTGTCCAAATTGCTGGGTATTAAATTTGAGATGAAAGGACAAGAAAACATTGTTCAGGATTCAGGTTGTGTGGTGCTTATCAATCACCAGAGTGCTTTGGATATTCTTGGTGAGTTTTCTGGTTTGTTTGTTCTCTATGAGAGTTATATCCAAATGACCAGCTGTTATATGACCTTGAAACATTCTTGCACCACTTATTTCTATGACTAATGCTCTGGTGCAGTTTCGTTAATGCTGGTTAGACTGGATGTACTGATCAGTCATTTCCTTAACCCTTTAAAGCCCAGTGGTAACTATATGTACCAACTGCCTTAAAAGTCAGTACATTTGCATTCTGTCTGCACAGTGTATTAATGGATTTGGTATGACTCTCAAAATAAACAGTGATTGTTTCAGTAAACAGCATTAACCAATTGTTCTTTAGTAATGAAGTTTTTTCTTTGAGGTAGGGCTGAATCTCTTAATATTATTTGAAAGGGCTTCAGCTTCAAAGGGTTAACCTGAACATGTTAGTCACTGATCACCAGAATGCACATCACCAGTCCTCCTCTGCTCCACTCTGAATCTTTCCACCCATTTCTAACCTTTTATATAGCCATCACCATACTGAATTGTCATTTTCTTTAAGTAGATCCACTGGGCAGATTTTAATAATGAAACTATTGAGTTGTGAAATTATTTGCTTTGTACCCATATGGTTCTCCAATTAAGTGCTTATTCTGATAATACCATATCTATGTGTACAGTTCTGGCTGAAATATGGCCGGTAATGGAGCGATGTACAGTTATCTCCAAGAAGGAAATTTTCTATCTGTGGCCATTTGGATTGGCTTGTTGGCTCTGGGGGACCATCTTCATTGACAGACTGAATGTGGAAAAGGCACAGAACACTATCAACAGCACAGGGGATATCATACGCAAAAATAAGGTAGGCTTATACTAGGTATTTCTGTTCTTGCATTCTGTCCCTATGGAGCAAATTGGGATTGTGGAAAGAGATAATGAAGTTATTGGCAGTGTTGAATTCTATATCTGTATACTTCTAAAGAATATCCACTGGAAATATGGATATATTCCAGAGGAATTAGAAACTGCCATAATTGTCACCATTTAATAAGATATGACCGCCATGGTGGTCTAGCAGTTATAACGCTGGCCTTGTAATCCTGGGGTCCCGGGTTCGATTCCTGGCGGTGCCCGAATTTATAACTTGTGTTGGGCAAGGCCGTGGTCTAGGCAACACGGAGTTTTCCCCCGGGGGCTTCCCCGGTTTCTCCATGGCATCCCAACAATTACTCGATTCACACACAGAAGAAGGCAATGGCAAACCACTTTTGGATCATCTGCCAAGAACGTATATGAACAGGTCCCAGTCCGAGAAAAGGATGGAAGGATCCTGTTCATAATACGCTGCCAACCTCTTGTAGATGGCGTAATAAAGAAGAAGAATGAGATATGCTGGAAACTGTGATAACTATTTTTTAAATATGTTATAAAATATATACTAAGATTTTTAACCATAGAAATATAAGGTAATAGCAGTAATACAATGTGTTTGCTGACACAATTACACATACCTGTAATTTCCTGGTTCCAGGCAGGAACTGCATGAGTTACCACCCAGCACTAACAGCAACATTTAATTATTCACACAATAGTGCAGGTGTGTCTAATATAGTGTTAAGTACTGGTTATTGTTATGTGTGTGGATATGGTGTGATGTATTGTTGAACAGAATGTTATTCTATATGACCCATGTGTGAATTGTGATTCGACAACAAAATATCCAAGAAAACTTTGTTATAAATTGCCTGGGAGCACAGTTGCAAGCACTACTTATTAAGAATGTCAGGTCTACTGGACTAAAAACAAAACAGACCAGCATCTTGAAATTGTTGGCAGCCAAAGCAATGAAATTACTTAAACTTTGACTGTATAAGATGACTTTAGCTCATCCTTTGCAACCGTGTGAGCCAACCAGCAGAATTAGCTTCTGCAACTGGTTCTTACAGTCAGTTCATGACCCCCTCATTTGACTTTTTTATGAAAATTATTTTCATTTGTATGGGCATATTTCCTCAAATAATAGTTTGTGCTGGATTCCTGTTAATCCAAGTTTCTCTTGTTAATGTAGAAGTTGGCTTCTGGCATCCTGTGTGCAAACAATTAATTCTGATAGATATGAGAGACTAATATCAGAATTTGTGATTGAGCTCACAGAAGAAGAAGAAGAATAATCCTATGCATGGCT